AATTATGTTATTGTTACATGCTGTGCCTGCACACGGGGGCCATTTTCCAGGCCCTGCGTCCCTCAGGCTGAACGCCTGAAATTCAGGCTGAAAGCCTGAAAACCAAGGCCTACAGGCCCCGTGTCTGTTCAGCTCGAAAGCCTGAAAAACAGGGGCCTACAGACCCTGTGTCGTTTCAGACTAAAAATGGCAGTAGCCTTTTTAGCCTGAAACGAAGGGCCATTTTCGGTCTTTCATCAGACCGACCTGCCCTGAAACTCAGGCACCAAACCAGGGTTTTAGGAACAGGTTATTTTTGGCCTGTTCCCACAACAGCTGCAGCGCCAGACCCTGGCTCAGTTTGGCATTGGCAAGAGCAGCCTCCTGGACTGCCCGCCCTGCAACTGCAGGCAGTCGGAGGCAGTCAGGAGGCAGGCCGAGGTAGTACATAGGCACTTCCCATGCACTTCACGGGTAGGCAGGAGGCAGTCAGTAGTCTTCAGGATTCGGCAGCAGCACTCTGGAGGAGCGCTGCAGGAGTAGTTGTAGCGTTAGCAGTAGTCTTCAACGCTGGGCGCTAGTAGCGTTGGTTGTAGTCTTCAGCGCTGGGCGCCATAGCTAGAGTAGTACTAGGGAGAGAGAGATTGGGAGGAGGCCAGGGATACTTACCTGCAGCGCCGTTGCTCCAGCTTCGTCTTCGAGTTACCTGCAGCACAGCGCCATCTTCACAGGTTAGTACCTGGCATATGAGAGAGAGAGAGTTCTTCTTCTTCCTCTTCTCAGTCCACCATCTCCTTCTCACCCTCTCGCTATCTGACTTCACGGCATCAGCAGACTTACGAGAGAGAGAGAGAGAGAGAGAGAGAGAGAGAGAGAGAGAGAGAGAGAGAGAGAGAGAGAGAGCTTGGTGACATTTGGATCCAGACTCAACATTGGACTTCAGACATTTTGAAGAGGGATTATTTGGGACTTGTGACGAGACTTGGTGTTGACGACTTTCCCATCTCCCTCTTCCTCTTCTTCGTCTGATCCCCTCCTCTTCGTCTGTGTATGTCTGGACCTGGCGCATCTTTCCTGTGTATAGCGTCAGGCCCCTTCACACCTTGTGATGAGCGTGATGTATGTTTGGTCTGCGTTGAAACATCGATTGGGCTAGTCATTAGTATTCTAGCATTCTGCTTCGCTATCTTGTACTATGTGAAAGAGGTCAGTCCCGGTCAGGTCAGGACTTGTATCTAAACTTCTAAAGTCTTCCCTGCGCTATAAAGCACCATTTTGTATGTATCGGAATGCACATTGCTTGTCGAGATTCCACTTGCACTGCATTGTCCATTCAGTCCTTTTTATCACATTGCGGATCCTCGGTTTATATGTACATCGCCCAACTGGGCATGTAACAGTTATGCAGAAAAATAAACTGATACCTTTCTCGGCCTTTTGGCTAAAAATAGATCAAGTGTAGTATCTGTTCTGGGCAGTTTAACATCTAATCTGTGTCCATCGGGCCACATTAAACAAAAACATAAAGTTGGTAACCGCCCGGACATCCGGACCGGGTTCCAGACAGTTCGGTGTCCGGTGTCCGGTCCCCATGTCCGGATGGAGGCCCCTTGGGCAAAAAAAAAAAAAAAAAGGGGGGCGGCCCAGGACGTTTGTCCTAGCCACCCCTCGAAAAATAACGGGGTGATTTTTAAGTGTCCTTTCACCCCACCGGACATGGCCTAGAGGTCCAGACACAAGACACTGCAGGTTTTTGAGGTGGCAGGTTTCGCACAGGCCCGAGCAATCAGAGCGACCGTTTCGACATGGCGCCCGCCGCTGCTGCCCGTTGGGGGGAGAGAGAGAGAGAGAGAGAGAGAGAGAGA